GTTCATTACACAGATTCAAAAAGGTGCTGGAGAGATTCCTCTGAGAATTTGATATTTACATGACATTACTTGGCTGACTGTATTTGCCTTAACCAGAGTTGGGTATGTTACTCAAGAAAAGTAATGTATTACACATTACTCATTAGTTTTCTTAAAAGTAATGCAGTACGTTATGAATTACTCACCAGAATAAGTAATTGTTCACACTATTTGTTACATTACTTTCTTGTTACTCTGTAAAATGTCCTGAATTGTACTGTAACATAATTACCAGCTAATAATATAAATCTTAGACTACAGTCTCACATACCAAGACAAATCCTTATACTAATGAGGATATAAATACGATTCTTCTTTTAGTGTTTACATATGAACACAAAGCCAACAACAAAAAGCAAAGACAAAAACTAGCTCAAATATACTTCAAAGCGATCACCAGGGCTGGACTGGTAATCTGACATACTGGGTATTTTTCAGGCCAGTGAACTTTTGGGCTGATGGACTGGCAGTACAAGCACTGACAGAAGCCCATTTGTTCATTTTCATTACTGATGCTGGATTGTCCAATCAAATCTCTTAATGTGAACAGCCCCTCCCCTTCTGTCGCTGTGGGCTCAGGCTTGTAGAAAAGGTTTAGTGTGGAAGAAGGGGCGTGAAGGTGGAGCTGGAAAGCTGCGAAAAACAATAAAAAGATGATAAAAATAAATTTTGGAAATTAACAAAATTCCTGAATTGTACAAAAACCACATTTTCTGTGTCAAATTAACCAACATGTTAACTGTTGAGACTGCTGCACCGCGAACAGCAGTATCATCAACAACTAGGCCTCACGGTAGCAGGAGGCTGGTGCTGGTAGCAAGAGCTGTGGAGAAAAGCAGCAGGAGAGACCACAGTCCCAACAGCAGTGTGAGGAAGAGAGGAAGACAGTGAAATTAACATGGTAAGAAAATAGATGGAAGGACATAGCTAGAGAGAAATTCAAGGATTCATTAAAGTGAATGGCTACGAGCCACTGCTAATAACTAAAGTGTAGCTCTCAATTATCGTCACATGCTGCAGTTCAACTAATAACTAACCCAACAACATCTCAGATATACATAATATAACTTCTTTTTTTTTTTTGAGCCATCATGGTGCACTGCTTGGGCAAAAAATGCACTGGCGATCAGTGATTCCACTTTAGTGACATGAACAGTGAATGCAAAGAGCTAAAGTTCTGTTTGCTGTATAATGTGGTTGTTACTGTACTGGATGCAGTTTCCGCTTTACCATCACTCTCTTGTCTCCATATCCCCACTCCTCAAAAGCTGTATCTCTGATTATAATGGGCCCAGGAAGAAAAATAATAATATTGCTTTTTGTTTCCATCTGCCTGGTACAGATAGCTGAAGAACCTTTGAAACACAAGTAACAGCATAATTGTAACTTTAATGCAATTACTGAATTTAGAACAGTAATGCATTACATTGCTTTAAACTGGGCTTAATGAGCATTTAAACACATGTATCTAATAAACTGGGTATATAAAAAAGTGTAAAAGAATTTGGTTTATATTAAAGACCAAGTATTTGGAAAGTGCAAGTATTAAATAACTTCCAGAAGAGAACAAAATACAGTCCAGTAAGTATCCAAAACATACAAGTTTCAT